AAATGAGTTGCAAAATCACCATAATAAACAGAAGTGTTCATATAATACCCCATCAGCTGATAACAATTAACTGAATGAATTGCCATAAACAAACTCTTTATTATATCCTTTTCTTTGTTAAGAAAACTTTCTTTGAGTTCTTGACAACTAAAAAGTTATCAAGTAAATAATGAAAAAAAATTTAAACTAAATTTTAAATATTAAAAAAAAGTGAATTTTAAATCGAATAAAATTTATATCATATCTAATAAAAGCAGAAACAATACATTGTCTACAAATTTTGATTCTTAATTCATAGATTATCACTGGATCATTTAAAACATTAGCGCAATATTGATATCTTTTATATAAATTTCTTAAAGCATATATTTCTCCCTTTATCAATCTATTTAGATATTTGCAATTATAATATGTATACCAGAAATTTTGATTTTCACAAATTTGAAATTATATCATTTCTGATGTATTTTTGTCTACTATTGAAAAAGCTAAAAGGAATTTTAGATCTAAATAAAAAAAAATTTTAACTAAAATTTTTGAAGAAACAACAATCATCTATTTTTTTCTTTCAATGATTTCAGCAATTTTAGAGGGTCTAGCTTCAACAGTATCTTCAATTAAATAAAAAATATTAGTTAAATAATTATATTCTCAGTAATAGAAAATTTGTTACTTACTAGAATCTTGATCATATTTTTGATAATATTCTTCAACTATATTCATAATCTTTTTCTTTAAGTTTATCACTTCTTGATTCTTTACTTGAATTTGTTTAGCATTTTCATTTTCATTCAAATCGTTAATTCAAATTAAATCAAAATTGTTGCAAAGACCGCTTAATAAATCATGCAATTTACTATTTTCTTGACTCAATTTTTTGTTTTCTTGTTTCGATTCTTTTTTGTTTTTTTCTAAAACATTATTTTTGTCTTGTAATTCATCAATTTTATCTTGTAATTTATCTATTTTGTCTTGTAATACATAAATTGTATTTTTAAGTTTTTAATTTCTTCAATTTGAATTTTGTATATTTCATCGATATATCTTTTCTTCTAAGTTGATGTCCTAGGAATTTTACAGTGTTTTCTAGATATTGGTTTGCAACTTTTGCAAAGTCACACTTTCTGAGATGATATAATCAAGTAAATTTCTCAAGCAAAGTTTCACGAGTCATTTTTCGTTACTGTTTATTGCTTAAAGGTTATGCTTTAAATATCTATACTTGATGACCATGTGATTATCACTAATTGCAGAAAAAAAAATATACACAATTAATATTTTATACTAGTCACATATAAATTGTATTGTAAAATTCAAAAGTAGTCAGTATTACTAATAATGCATGTAAGCTGGTTTTCTTTCTTGATTTGAATATGAACTTGCAAAATGAAAAAATTATATACTTTTTAATTTTGAAATTTGACCAATTATTATATTTACAAAAAGAATTTAATGAACTCTGTTTTTAGGACATATTTTCAAACTTTATTTTGACATTTATTAGAGTATTAAATTTTTTATATTTTCTTCACTTGGAATGATCTAATATATTATACATTCTTTTTATCAATCTGTTTTTGGTGGTTTCGTGATTAATCAAAGATCATAAAATTGTTTATTCTGATTTAATAAAACTTTAAAAATTTTCAAAAAGCTCTTTATTTATGTTTATAGATTGTAAATATTAAAAGATTATAAAATAATCAATTCAACTTATATTTCTTCTACTTATTCTCAAGACTTTACATACAGATTAACAAATTATACTATTAAACATAGTTTATCTGCAATGTATCTACTAAAAAAACAAAAAAAACTAACTACAACAAAGACAACCACCACCAAAAATTGATAAAATAAGTCATTCTCAGAGTCTCTTGTAAGAGTATTCGGATTTTCATGTTTGGCACTTTTATTTTCATTAATGTTTATATTTCTGATAATCCTGGTAGAACTTCCTTTCATAATATTTTCTAAACTTCTTTGTCTCAGTATTCTTGTTCTTTTGACCTTTTCATATATTCAATATCATTTTCTTGTAATTGTTAACTCATTGTCTCTTCTTTTATAGTAATATTTTCTATTACGCTTCTTTACTTGTTCTGACAAAGAAAGGTGACACTTGTAATATCAGTTTAATATTTGAATTTAGCTTTTAACTGATAAATCATACAAAAGCACATTTAATAACCAATTCAATTTATTTTTTTTATTTTTTAATTTTTTTTTTTTAAT